TTACATCGTATTGCAACCTACAACAGCGATCTATCTTTAGCTACAACTACGTATACTGATAGATCGTTTGATGCTCACAGATTGTTATCCTAATCGTGTGTTTTACAATTATGTTAAACTTTCTTTTTTCTTTCTTAAAAGTCATCATCACATGGCAATTTTTTAATTTCCCTCTAGCTGGCCACCCACATTGCCCGGAAGCAGTTCGATGATCGACGACCATCAAAAAGAATATTTTTAGGCTTCTTCCCTCTTAATTTCTCACCTTATATGAACTTTGATATAAACGTAGTTAGTGATTTCCCATTAGATCGTTAAGCCAAAACATCGTCTTCTGTTTTCATTCCAAACGAGAAGAGAACTCGACGTTCGAAGAGAACAAAATTATTTTTTTTCTCTTTCAATTTTCTTTTTTTCTTCTTCTTCTTCTCTTTTTTCTGACTCAAAAATTTCCTTCCGAAACTTTCGAACTTTTTTCGTTTTAAACAGCGAAAATGAAGAAATAGGTTTTTATCGATTTTCCTGTTCAAAAGATGAGAATTAATACGGAAGATCCTAAGACTCTCCCATCATCATCTACCAGCCCCACACAGCCAATGTGTATTTCTGGTATTCTGTCTAGTCAATGAGATTTTAACGTTTGAACGGATGGATTTCAAAAATGAAACATCCTCCGCTCTCAGCTTCTCAGCTATACCTCTCTCTCTCTCTCTCTCTACTTCTCTATCTCTCAGATGCGTGTGATGTCTGTGAACCAAATTCAAATTGCTCGACGTAAACTTCTATTGTTCCGTTAAAGAAGAAAGCAACTTGATATGTCTCAAACGAATTCAACACTTCTTTACCTTATTTAGCAACAAATAATTTTTGAAATTTACAAACGTCATTTTCCCGCCCTCCTACTTGCTCTCTTACTGACTCTGTCGTCATTCTCTTATTCCATCTCAGACATACCGTCAGAGATCTTCAATGGCATATGCCATTTATGGATGAATTAGATGTTCAGCACTCTTCAAAATTTTCTTTTTTCCGGAATAAATCAAAACTACAAGATGTGGATGCACTTTGAGAAAATTTTACGAAATTTCAAAGTTTCGGTGACAAACTTTAAAAGAATAACATGTCAAGCTCAAAAAGGAATTGTTGGCAGACATCATTGTACAGATTTAAGAATAGAAAGAGAAAATGAGAATGAGAGATGAACAGTCACAACGAGAAAGGTGAACATCACTTTCAAAAACCTCATTTCCTGAAATGTGGGCATCATGAGATGACGAGGTTTGTTTTGCCATCTTCCACCACATCGTTACGATCTTTTTGAGTTTTGGTTCATACGTAAAATTCTTTTTATGGATTAAATCATATTGGGAAAGAGGGTGGTCATTGCCGAGATTCTTTAATATTCAATTCCAAACAGAAGGAAAGAGAGGGAGAGAGAGAGGTTCACTGAGATTTCAAACGTTTCCCTCTTCTCTCTATAGCCCTCTCATAATATATCAAGCTCTTTATATAGATTTCTAGTCATCTCCCTCTAGTGCTAGTATAAGAATCTTATAAGCTTATTTCCTCCATCTCACCTTTCCCTCTTTGAACTCATCTCACATCTGTTTTTCAATTCTGTTCTTTCCCAAAAACGTCCGTTTGGCACCTCAATCCTTTCTCCAATTTCTTTATTTACAAAAAGAATATTTAAGTTTTCACTTGGTAAATGACATTTCGAAATAAAACTTTCTATCTCTACCTCCCTCTCTCTCTCTCATCGTCTTTCTCTCTCTCTCTCTTTGAATGTTCTCTATCTCTTTTACTGGTTTGGACTCGGAAAAATCAGAGAAAACGTTCTTCCTCTTCGAGTTCAGAAGATTGTACGTTTTTCTCTATTTTTTTATTTTTTTATTTCTCATTTGCGACAAAACCCTTCCAACCTCATTTGGAATGTTTTTCTTTCGACTCACAAAACACCTTGATTTGTGTGACGACTTTCTTCTTCTTTTTTCCTTTTTAATCGGAAACTGATTCCAACTTCTTCAGAATTCATCTTCGAGCAGTTGACGTCAAAACAACTTTCGTAGCAGATCATTTCGCTTTTAGTATGGAGAGATTTCTTTTTTTAAAAGCTTTTCTATGATTTTCAAGAAAATTCATGCTCTTCAAAAGGTTTTTTGAACTTCCCGTCTAGCTCTTTACATTCCTTTCATATTCCCTCTTAATCCATCTCTCTCTATTTTTCTTCCTTTTTATCTTGCTTATTCATACTCTCTCATTCTCCCTCTACCCTTCAATGGCTCTCAGAAAAGCATTGACCGCTGGTTCTTCTGATCTCTCTGTGAGTTAATGAAAATCTTTTTTCTCTTCAGAACTCCTTTATAAACAAAAATATAAAAAAGAATTTCTATTCTTATCCTCACCCAAGGCGACATGCTGCTATAATTGGTTAAAACTTTTCTCCAACTCTCAGCGTCTCGAACAATCTTCGAGCATTTTTTGTCATCACCTTTTTCCCCCATCCAACACCCATATGATTTTTGTCAATTTGATGCAATTATAATTTTAGATTTAAAAAAAATGAAAATAGAAAGGATGAGCCATACGAGATGTCTCTTACTGCGTCAGAGAAGCATCAACATTCTCTCGTAAGATTATCATTGGCAAAAGCTTGTCGGATGTCTTGAGAAAGTCAAAAAGAGAATGGAAAATATAAATTTTGTGGTAAATTATGAGCAGTCTTCTTATAAAGAAAAGAATAAGTCTTTAATCCAACCGGCCATCATTACACCCTAATGCATTGAGAGTAAGAGAGAGAGTCATAGATGAAGAAGGAATCAGAGAGATTTGAGAGTAAGGTTATCTACTTCCTTTTCTTTCAGAGATTTGCGTGATCATCAGTAATTTTAAATTTAAATATATTTTTTTCATTTTCTGTTTATAGTTCATTCGATTATAATATTTTTAAAATTTCCAAATTCTCTCTTTCTACATAATCTTCTACAACATAACATCGCTATTATTAGTTCCTAAACTATGCCTACGAATTGGAAAGACTCTAATTTTTCATGAAATCACTTGCAATCCATCTAGTATCATATAGTATACAGTCGAATTCTTCCTCTTTGATCATCACTTCCCACTATCCTCCCCCCCCCACCCAGCACACACACCTCTCACCCTCCCTTTCGTTGTTGGTCGCTTATTGTTGAGCTCGTCTCTTTGTATGAGCTCTCTCGATCTTTCATGCTCACTCCTTATATGAGTTTCTGAATCTCTTAACATATATCTCTCCCACTTAATGTATTTATCTCTTCAAGTTTTCACCTCTCCATCATTATTTCTTTCGCATTTCCCTTTACTACTTCCCTCTCTATTTTTTTCTTTCCATCTCTGTCTCTCATTCATAACTCTCTTGTTTGTCATTTTCATATTCAATCTTTTGATTCGAAAAAAAAACTTCCTAAAATTTGCAAATTTCCTACGCAAAAATCTAGAACACGAAAATCAGAGAAGATGCTAAACGTCATTCTGAAGACCTTTTCGGAAGAAATTTTTATTTTAGAACAACTCTTCCACACACACACACACACATACACACATAACTCACTCTTATAATATAAAGAAAGGAGAACAGAGAGAGAGAGAGAGATGAGAGATAGAGAGAGAGACTAAAACGTTTCGAACAATTCATTTGGGGCGTTTAGTTGAAAAGCGACATTATCAATGGATGAAGCTTGGCAGTTACTAAATATGTTCTTTTATGATTGGTCTAAATGACATGAAGTTATTGTTGTTTTTGTTTTGAGTGTTGCAAATTCAAAAGGTTCCATTCTATTCCTCTAACTCTCCTTCTCTCTCTATCATTCTAACCTCTCTCTCTCACTCTTTTTAAATTCTTAACTCTCTCTCTATATCTCTTCTTCTCTCTCTCTCTCATATTTCTTCATTTTTTTTCAGATGCTTCTGAATGCCTTTAATCGTCGCCATTGCTTCTCATTTGTACAGAATATTCAATCAAATTTTCACTTAAATTTCTTATAATTTTCCTCTCTGCCCTCTCTCTATCTCTCTCTCTCACTCCCTCCCTCTATCCTCTCTCTTTCTCATTTTTATTTCTCTTCTTCGAATTTTTTTTCCTGAAACATTCTGATCGACTCAGCCTTTTTTTCCGTTTCCTCCTAACTAACTTTGCTTGAACTTCACACATTCACGTTATTGCTGTTATTCTGGATCGAATTTCAATATGAAAGTTCGAAGCGTCTCTCTTGCTTTTGCCATAATGACAGAACTTTTAATCAAAGAAGCATTCTCTCGACGTCAAACTCATATTCTCATGAATGTGGATCTCACGTGTTTCACGTGGACTACAATTTTTCATTTTCAATTGTAATAGTGCGTCGAACGGTTGATCTCTTTCAAGTTAACTTCTTCCAAGTCTCTCTTTCATTCAATCTGTCTCCCCCACTACCTTTCTCTCACTCTCTTTGAAACTCCCTTCCATCATACTTCCATATATAGAACTAATTTTTAAAGTTTTCTTTTAATTCTGATAAATATTACATAAAAGTACTTTTCTCTACATCTACCCAATCATTTGCACGTATCGGATTTCTACATAGAACCAGTCTTCACTTGTTTTCAAACGTTTTACAACAGAAAAAAGATAATAATTATGTTTTTTTGTTGTTTTTTCTTTGACATTCGGGAATTCTCTTTCTCACTTACACAATGGCCTCTCTCTCTCTCTCATCATATTCATTTTTCCCTCCCTTACAGCCTCGTTAATTTAATTTTTCTTCATCATCTTCATCATCTTCATCATCATCATCATCCGTCTTCTCTCGTTTTTGTTTGTTTTTTCAGATTTTTTTTTATTCCTTTGGTGTTGTCTTGTTGTGATTATCATTTCCATGTATCTTTCTCTTCCTCTCTCTCTATCGCTATCAACTTCTTCTTTATTATTTTATTTTTAGAAAGGAAAAAAAATGAGAAACTCGCGTAGATGAGACACGATAATGGCCAATACAACTATTCTACCCAATTGTATTGTAATAACTGCAAATCCGGAACCTTATCAGTATGTTTAACTATATGTGTTTAAGATACTGTATAATCATTTACAGGCATTTCGCCCAGATAGTTAACGGATGGATGACAACCATCTGTGTCGTTCTGGGCAGCTCCTTCAACATTCACGGAATACATAGTGTTATAATGAATGCTGATAAGGTAGCTTCAGATATATCAGCATTGTCTCACTAATCATCTTTCGATTAAGAACCGAGGAGTTGTCTTAGGTGTTTCAATGGTTTTTCTTGGTTTATGGGATACTGTTCTATTATGGTGTGCTTTTTTCTATTATGGAATCAAACATATGCCATTCGGATTTGTGAGCACTGAAATGCTGAATCATCTGACGCCGTGGTTTCATGCATTTTCACAAATCGCAAATACAGCATCGGTTAGTTGAGCTTGTTGTTTTGCCAATCAACAGAAGTTGCACAAATGCTTTTCTAACTTTTTTTTTTCAATTAAAATATGAGCGTTGATTGTGATGAAGAATGAGTATATAGGCGAGATCTAAAGAGAGAGAAAGAGATAGATAGAGAGAGAGAGATGAAAAATAGCTACACATGTGAATGAATATAGCAAAAGCAAATCGGATGGTCTCGTTGAGCCATATTGAGCAGCTTAGACTTTTTACGGATTTTTGCTCACTCACTCCAACACGTTAGCCATTATAATATCTTTTATTGAAGACGAAAAAAATATGCAAAAGTTTAAAATGAGTTTAGCTTGAATGTCTTCCGCATTTAAATGCTGCAAGGAATGATTGAGAAAACGTTAGATGTGCCTTTAGTGAATTAAGTTTAAACTTGAAATGCTTCTTGCAAAACTTATGCTGCTGCTCTTCAAGCTTTACCACAAATAATGGAAAGCTTCCGTTTTGAATACTTGATTGCACGTTATTCTCCACATGGAGCTTAGAGTCAGCGATGTTGCTAAGAATCAAATGCTAATCAGAAACATTTGAAAGAAAGTTCAAAGTTTTCTGTGTTTATATGAATTCTCTTTGTATCCCTATAACGTTCGTATGAAGAAAGAGCAAGCAAAGGGGTAGACAATATAAGAAAATACAACATTCTTAAAGCTCCCACGAAAATACAACCGCTCTTCGTCTACATGAGTTTCGAAATAAGATATGAAATGAGAAGAGAGAGTCACGTGGCAATTCTCACGTAGCTTTCATATGATCATTTTCACGTGTGATACTAGAAGTACGTTGAATTATAATAATTATGATCTTTAAGATATGGTGTGTGGTTGCAATAACATTACAAAGGTTCATGGCTACACGAGATCCTTTTCGGTCAAGCAGATCGCCAGCATTTGCTCATTCTTTTCGTAGTGAACGACGAATATCTTTCATCTCATGTTCAACATATCGTCGATTGTTACGGTATGCATTAGCTCAGTGAGCAGCAATGAATTGATACTTAACAGGATGCCTTTCATACTCTCTTTGTGTGCCATAATCATCAATGTGCCAGCTTTTTTTGAGATAATTGCTGCGCCCTGCTTCAGCAGAGTGCATAACAAGAAATCAGTTCATGTGAGTTTCTACAACGATCATGAAAACAGAACAACATTGTCTTACAGCTCATCGTCACACCATTCCGACGAGATGCCATGTACAAAATGTATCGCCTACTATCTCGAATGATTCTCATTTCCATTGGGCCGAATATTTTTATTTTATGTAAGCTCTCTGAAACATGATCTATCGCATACTCACTTGTTACAGGTGTTACATTAATAACTATTTATATTCTGAAAGGATCAAACCGATCACGAAGACAATTATTCCAAATGAGCGATATGCTGATTGAGCGTCATGCCTCCAGAGAAACAACACAAACATGGATATCCATAATATTGGTTTTCAAATTTCTCCTTTTACGGAGTTTGACATTCGCTGTGAGTTTCCAAGCTGTACTTTCTCTACTTCCTTCTTGTTTCTGAGAAATACTATCACCAAACTGTTCTCAATCAAATATTATTCGTTTCAGTTGGACATCATGGAAATGACAATTGGAGTGACGAATTTCTTCGTTGTCGATATTAGCAACTTTCTGTTAATTCTCAATAGCGCAACTAACTGTATTCTATTTCTCAAAGTGAGTTCGATTCTCACAGATATGAGCGAACTAACAACGTTCCCATTAAGGCTAAGCAATGGATGGACAATCGATGGCATGAGAAAAAAACAATAAAAAGGAAGAAAACGTTATGCGATGCTAGGTACTTTAGTTTTGAAGATGCTTCTCATATAATTTCTCTTTGAAGCCTTCTACAAGGTGAACGTGCTGCCATTCTTCATAAGACGTGGCAAAATGCTCTGCGCATGACCAACAGTCAGCTTGGCCTTCGCGTGCTGTACTCAATGCTTCGGAAACATCCAGCATTATTCAACGTATTCCGAATGCCGAATCAGACTATTTATTCGACGGACAAGGTTATTTCATTTTCTTTCCCTAGCGTCTCTCATAATTGAAAAAGCGACTATTGAGAAGTATGTTTTCTATTTTAAGTGTCCTGTTGAACCGGAATTGGTTTCGCTACTCACCAATGGTCAACGGCGAAGCTTTGATATCATTACAAATACGAAGTGAGTAAAGATTATCTCAGTTTATCCAATTTCATACTAAACTCATACTATTTGAAGATATCAGGAAGTTGCCGATAGAATAACTACATTCATAACCGAAATGATTGATTTGATGATGAGAGGACAACCAGAAGAGGTAACACTGTCTCATACAGTAAGATTCAAAGAAACTCAATGTTTAAGTACGTCGTCATGAGAGTTCGACGAATCGGAGCAATTCATTATGATAAAGGGATTCATTTCTCATCGTCTGTATGGAAGGAATTCAAAAATAGTACAATTTCCATAATTGCCGAATGTGATTTTGATTCTCAAGCGGTTCGTTACCTCCATCAAGTTCATTCCTCTCTCTCTCTCTGTCTATCTATGCTATGAAGAGAAACCTTCTAGTCCTTCCACTGAACAAAGAAATTAAATGTTATAATTACAGGAACGTGATGCTGCCATGGATGCATGGAATATTTTCACTTCATTCATCATACGGGAAATGAAAATGGGTACTTGGGCTATTGGAGAAACACTTGGAACAATGCCTTGAATTTTCATTTATCATCAATCATAATCAGTTATTTGGGTAGTATATTGGAGTTATCAAATGAGCCTTTCTAAATCCTCAACGCGTAAACCTTTTAAAGAACCAAATATAAGAAAAAAGATTTCTAACGAGAGGATTAACTCTCTGTCTTGGTACCTTCCCTCCCTCCCTTCCTCCCTCTATCTCATACATAAACCTCTTTGTCAATTTGATATGTAAAATCAAATTATTTCATGAATATTATGTTAGAAATCCATCATGTGATAACTCCAGACAAGAAGAAGTTCTGTTCCCGCCACATACTATACGGGTTCTTTACAATATAGTCCAACTTTTAGAAATTTAAAAACTTGACTTCATTCGAATCATTTGACATCTTTCTGATCTCTCAAACGAATTTTTTTTTACAAACAAAAAAAATGATATTTCACTGCCTCTTATCTCATATTTTTAAATGATTTTAATAAATTTTCAAGAATTTTGTTTTTTGTTTTCATTTTGTAAATGAGAAAAGGAACGTACTCGATTCGCATACCAGAGCTTGGCGATCCGTGTAGGCTTTTCCATATAGAATTGAAGGTTGCTGTCATGGAATATAACTTCATCCTATAATATTATTTATTGATTAGATTTTTCAATTGAGCATCTTACATCAGGACCAGGAATCCATTTCATATGCAAGTATGGTGAGTCTAAACTTGTTTTCCAACTATTCGGATCATAGTAAGAACCGAAGTAGGTATCAGGCTCGTAAAAGGCATCTGTCAAATAAGATTTTCATATCCTCTGTCTCTCTCTATTACCACTCACGTTCTTCACTTTTTTTACGTTGACATTGTTGGTAATCTGCACGACCAAGTATCACATTATCATCAAAATACATGACTCCTGTATTTGAAAATTCGATCTGAGAAACCTGAAGAGATAAAGCAAATCAACAATAGTACTGTAAGTAAGATTTACATCTATATCTCTGTCAAGGACCGCTACAGTTAATTTCTCTTCTTCAAACACAATGTGATCACCTTAAATTCATATATGAAAGAACATATATGAGCATACTGCTTGTAACCTGCACATGGTACTCCTTCATTCAACCAATTATAGCGAGAGCTCATTCTTACATTGGGCAGGAAGTAAAACTTCTCAGCATAAATCTCAGTTGAGATATGTAAAAATATTAAAAAAATAAAAAAATCCATCTGAATGCTTTCAATGTATGGCAAATTGATTTGTTCATGAAGAAATATGATACTTTGCTCATTGAAATAAACAGTTCATTCATAAACATAACTTGTGGTGTGACCTTTTCAATGAGTTGACCTATCAGTTATCGATTGCATTTAGTTTTTCCAAATTTTTTGATGTTTATCTGTGGATAAGATTGAGCATCATATTGTATATGTCATCCTACTTCTACGTACATGAGAGTATGAATGAGCCAGAGAAATACATGGATGAATCCAATGAACATGTTTAGCTACCAGTTGTACCGTTGTGTTAGTTGACAGCCTCTTCTCTTGTTTTTTCATAGTTTTTTTTTAGATCTAGGAAATTCTAATATGCTTATCGTTTGAAAGCAATAACTCGTTGATCAAATATTTACAAAAATAAAAAAATTTATTTAGCTGATCATGTTTAGTCATCTGCTTTTTGATTCTTTAGGAATGATACAAGAAACATATAACATTATATTTGTACATTAAAACTAGTTCAATATCAGATCAACGAACAAGTAAGGAAGAAAGTATTTTGCCCACCAGAATGTGTTAAGATGAAGCTTATAATGGTTAGGTAGTGAATCTGTTAGAATCCTAAACAGACTGGTGCTTGTGGCTGCGATCGTGTGCCCGCATATATTTCTTCGAGGAATAACCTCCATTTTCTTTCAATGTAATTTTTCCAATTAGCTTCTATCTTACAAATATTTGTGTCAGAAGCTGTTTCCGTATGATCAGATTGACAATACGAGCAGTCAGATTCGTATTCAACACACTCAATATGATTATCTGAATTAATCGTTATTGTGGGATACAGCTATAGTTCCTACGAACCTGCATGATATACTCTGCGCTCAAATATGTAGCAATAGCTATCTGAAGAAACTGCCATGGTTGTGAACTTCTTCCTCACCAATGTACTTTGATACTGAAAAGTGATGAAATACAATTTTCTTTTTTTCTTATATAACTATTACCTCATTACTACTGCAGCTAATGACAGAGAGCGATAGGAGAAAGAGAAACGTTTTCAACATATCCTGTTTGAGCTCAGTTATATACTTCAGTTATATATACCATTTTTTTCCAACCTCTATTTGCTTGATAACTATTCAGGCCTCGTTAAACTATTCAATTTGAAAGCCTGACTGTTAGCTCAGAAGTTATGAAATGAGAGGGAGATACGAAGATGGTAAAGAAAATAGTTTATTTAGTTCATTTCAAAGCGTTTGAGCAAGTTTTGAATTGACAATTTCATTCCACTTAGAGTCAACATATTTCGCAAAACGATGATCATTAAGGCATATATCTCTATTTATCTAGAAACAATTATGTGATGAACATAAAACAGTAATAAGACTCACACTTTTGGGCTCACTCAGTTCGATTCTTTCATCACAGACTATCTGTTTTTCATTACACTCGATAGATTCTAAAATACAAATGATCAGAGTTTAAATAATTATAATACCTTCAGTTATAACTTTGATGAACTCATAGCAAAATGGAGGATCGCTTTTCAGTTTTTTCGCATAGACTGTCGTTGTCTGCGCAATAAACAGTTAATCTTCTAACTCACACATGGTGAACAACCTTATGGCTACAGAATGCAGATGGCACTGATATCAGGATAAGGAATAGCAACGGTAATAACATGACAGAACGAAATTAAAAGAATAATGGACAACTAATAATGAAATGTGTTATCTTCCCCGGCTATATCAATAATCGAACAGGAAAAACACAGACATACCCCTTCCCTTCACATTTGCCGGAAACACACACCAATTAAGAAATTTCTCGATGGGAAAACATCAAAAACCAATGCCACGTCCAATAATGAGAATCGAAAATAACCAACCTTTACCGAAGGTTGTTCAGCCACGTCTATAAGCCTCGATAGCTCCGTTTGGAGAGACTTAGACAAAACATCTGATCAATAAGAAGTTCGATCCTGGTTCGGGGCATTGTTTTAGACCCACAACGACTAAATTGCGGTGGGGCTATGTCTAGATATGTTTTCCGGACATTGAATAGTCTTTTAGGTGCTTCGGGCAGTCACTCAGCCCCATTTACAAGCCTCGATAGCTCAGTTGGGAGAGCGTTAGACTGAAGATCTAAAGGTCACCAGTTCGATCCTTGTTCGGGGCATTGTTTTAGACCCACAACGACCAAAATGCGGTGGGGCTATATCAAGAAATGTTTTCCGGACTACAAAGAGTCTTTTAGGCGCTTCGGGCAGTCACTCTGCCCTATTTACAAGCCTCGATAGCTCATTTGGGAGAGTGTTAGATTGAAGATCTAAAGGTCGCCAGTTCGATCCTGGTTCGGGGCATTGTTTTAGACCCACAACGACCAAAATGCAGTGGGGCTATGTCCAGAAATGTTTTCCGGACAATAAAGAGTCTTTTAGGCG